GGGTCTCCTTGCCGTATCATAACATGGCAGAAGATGTCACAAGGTGAGAGAGAGCAACTGTGCTGATCCAGATCTCTCTTTTCACCAAATCACTAACAGAGATCTCATTTCAGGATCCCATCTAATCTTGATCACCTCCCAGAGACCTCACCTCTGAACACCACAGGAACATGCGTTTGGGTATTAAGTGTACAGCCTATGAACTTTTGGGGGGATGTTCCAACCCCAGTAGGGACTGTGGAACATCTGGTTAGTACAGGAGCTGGACCGGTGCTAATCCCCCTGTCTCCACTCTGCTATTTCATTCCTAACAGTTAGTGGTGTCTTTTCTCACATATCTAACTGGATCCAGGCTTTCCTGAGCCCTTGAGATCTACTTATTATGTTGCCTGTCACCTTCAGTGACTCCACCATGAACCATCCTTTCAAAGTGATCTGTGGGTGCCTTTCGCTGGGGATCAAGCAGGTTATATGTCTGCCAGGGCCCCATAGACGAATTACATCTGCATTGGAGACAATACTTCTTTGCAGAATGAAACTCTTTGTTCCCTGCAATGCCTTGAATTTTGTGCACTGAAATGAATTTTTTTTTATCTTGGCTCTTTCTGTGTTTGCCTGATAAACTCAGTTCTGTTTTTTTTTTTTAAATTTATTTTTAACTGTTTGATATCATTTTGTTTTAGGTTTGTTTCTTGGAAGCACCATATAATTTAAGTTTCTATTTTAACCTATAATTTGAGTCCTCCTTTAAAGACTTTTTTCTCCTACTTTTGTTGTTGCATGTATGCTGGCTCCCTGTTGAAGGCACAGATGAGCAAAGGGAAGGACCGAAGGATCAAAGTTACTCCATCTTCTCTCCTCAGAGGTAGTACCGTTTTCTGGACGAGGCTTTGCAGTGTTCCTGACTCTGCTAATTCTCTCATAGCTTTCTAGCACATCCTTCTTCCTGAACCACAGACTCGGTATCATTGCTCAGACACTGATGGGTGCCTCTCATCACGTCAGTACGCCTTTAGAGAAGCAGCAGTGTATGAGGCGGGCTGGTCTCCCAGTGCCTTTGAGGCTCCGAGCAGAGGTGAAGTGCCCTCTTCTAATCTACCATCTTATAACTAAAATATTTATTTATTTTATGTATAAAAAGTTTTTTTTCTGCATGCATGTATGCACACCACATGCGTGCCTGAGGAAAGAGGGCATAGAATTCCTTGGAACTGGAGTTACAGATGGATGTGAGCTGTCAACTGGGCGCTGGGTCATCTACAAGAACAATAAGTGCTCTTAACTGCTGATCAACCCCCGCAGCCCCTAACCTACTATCTTTTATAATTCTTCCCATATTCCCTTTACTCAATCTTCTCAATATAGTCCTGGAAAATGACTCAGGTTGCATTCAGTCCATTCACCATTTAGCTGAACAATGAGGTCTAACGGTGTCTCGTCTCTCATGTGATTTCAAATTTCCCGGAGGCCTGGGGGTGTAAACCAACAGTTGAGTATGGTATGGGCAAGGCCCTGGGTTCAGTTCCAGTGATTTTTTTTTCTCTTCTGAAACTGCACCATTTTAAAATTTGCTTAACTTTCTCTGTGACTGCTAAGTATTCCTCGCCTCCATCCCTTTCTTGTTAGCAGTATCTGCTAAGTTCCAGGGAGGAATGGATGCCGTATCTTGAAGGTCATCTGAAGAATGGTTAAAAAAAAAAAAGAGAGAGAGAGAGCGTGATCCAATGTGTTTCGCGTGAGCCAAGCGAGCTGAGGCTGAGATTGTTTGGCCAATGGATTTGGTAACGTGAAAGTCGCTGGTGACCTTGACAAGACTTGGGTTGTGGGAACAAATGTCTTATTGGAAGGGATTCAAATGAGCATGGAGGACAGGAAATCGTAGACTGTGACACAGAAAATGTTTGAAAAACATGAGTTTTTCTCCAGAGGGCCCAGAGAAATGTGGAGAAGAATGTAGGCTGGAGGAAGGGCTTTGAGGTGGTCAGTCTCTGGAGTGGACCTCAGGAGCCACTCCCCTCCTGGGGTCCAGGGGTTTGCATAGTCTCCTTTCTTGTTGTGTCTGGGTTAGTGTGCGTGACCTTAAGCATATGTCAGTCACGTGTGAGGGGGGGTTTACAAAAGACTGCCATTTCCAGGTGGGATGCTCTTTGTACCCCCACCATGCCTCGTTTCTTGAGAAGCAATAAACTGTACTGTGTGTGGCTGCACGGATCATTCCACCTGATGGGGGACTTATGTGTCAGTCGGTGAGCGAGGAGACTGAGCTTGACAGTAACCACGGAGATGAGTCAGCTTGCAGCTGAGCCTCCAGCCCCACGTGAAGCCTTTGCTGACAGCTCAGAGTCGTAACCAGCAAGGTGAGTCAAATCAGTTAGTTCGCCGCCGTGAGAGAATACGCAGGCTCCAAGTTGCTGACTCGGGACATGTAATACGGGCTGGTGTCGACTTTTGAAGAGAGGTAGAGAACAGCACAGCTGTGGGCTGACGGGAAGAACTGAGTAGTGCAGGAGAAGTGTTAACACAGGAGAGGGGAATGTTTTGGCAGGTGAGACAAGACGGTGCCCTTTCTGCGGCCCTCTCTTTGTCACGTCTCTCCCTGTCCCTCCCGTACTGCCACAATTTCTCTTCTGTCAGTTGGTTCTCACCTCTCTCCCACAAGAATGCGCTATGTAGGTTGAGCAAGACCTTGATAATTCCTAGACGGAGGAACCTGAGGGAAGCACCAAGGATGCAGAGCGAAGCTGGGAGATGGCGAGCCATCAGCGTGGATGCAGATGATTCTAGATGCTGAGAGCCCTCCTCAGCCACCAGATAGCAAGGAAATAGGCTCTCCCAATACCAGAAAACAGATTTGATGGGCGACTTGAAGGAGCAAGAGATGGATTCTGCCCTAGTATCTCAGAAGGAACATGGTCCTGCTGAATTTGAACATCTGACCCTTCCTGGCTCTCCACTCTGCTTCCTTTCTGCCACCAGATGAGCAGCCTTTGCCAGGTGGATGAGTGTGGACTGAAACCTCGGAGGTCGGTTCTGTTGGCAGGGATTTCAGTTGCTACAGCATTTTGACTACTGTGAATAGCGCTGTGGTAAAATGAGGTGGTTTTATCCCTTAAAGACCACCAGTTTCGCTCTCTACACTTTGTGGAAGTTTCTGCGCTGTCTCGTAATTTTCCTTTTTGGTAACAACTAAACCATTTGAAATTGTTACCAAGACTGGGCACTTTCTCCACATTCTTGCCAGCACTTGTTATCTTTTGATTTGTAAAATCAGCCCTCTCAACAAGGAGTGAAATTTCGGCTCCTTGTGTGGAAGGAGGGAGGGAGCTGGTGCATATGTAGACAGTGGCCAGAGGTAAATATTGGATGTCTTCCATTATTGCTTCCCCAATTTTTTTTTTTTTTTGAACAGAGTCTCTCGTTTAACCTGGAGCTTGCTTATTGGTTGGACTGACCAGCCAGCAAACCACAGGCACCCTCCTGTCTTTGCCTTCCTTGCACTGAGATTTCAGGTGCACTCGACTGTGCCCAGCTTTTTATGTATGAGGATCTAAAATCAGAAATCAAGTCTTTGTGTTATAGAACAAGCACATTACTGACTGAGCTTTCTTCCCAGACCCGGAAGTGCACGGTTCTGTGTTTTTGATTTGCATTTCCCTGCAACAGTGGTGTTGCTCATTTGTGTGTTTTCTTCAGAGAAGCAAATTTTAGAGATCTTCAGTAATCAGTATGATACTGTACACTTAAAATCTGTTGAGCAAACAAATGCCGTGTTGTGTTCTTATCACAATAAAAACAGACTTTGTTATTTCAAAGTCCAAATCTTATGATCGTGAGTTTCAGGGTTATGAAAATACTGTCTCAAACGTTTCCCCATCTGTGGGCCTGTAAAACTAACCACACAGTTTTCTGTCCCTAGCCTCAGTCCAGCGCTGAGTCCAGCATAGGAAGACAGCTAGGGATTGCTGGTGCACAGGCGCTGGTGTTGGCGGAGAATGGAAAGAAAAAAAGAGACAGGGAGGTGGATGTGGGGGAAACGGAAGGAGGGGGAGCTAGGGTTAGTATGTAAAATTAAAAAAATTAATAAAAGAAAAGAAAAACTGAGATAATTAGAGAAGAACAGCTTCCAGAGTCACTAGGTAAATCCCAGTCAGTCTTGAGTTTAAGCCTGGATGTACCCCGTGGCTCCTGGCTCTACCATACATGTGTGTGCTTGGTCTGCCCTAGAAGCCATTCATCTTTAGAAATACAATGCCAAAGGCTATTTGAAGGTTAGGAACCCGCTTCTTACGTATAGAATCTTGGGACTTTGGAAATATTTCGCTTTTCTCTGTTCATTTCAATTCAAAAATGGCATCTCTGCTGCTGTGGCTTCTCAAGAACTCTGCTGCAGGTGCCACAGGGGCTCTAAGCCAAATTCACATATTTCCAGATGATATTTCTACCATTGTGATTGCTGAGACATTTGAAAGATAAGGTGTTTTGCTTTCTAGAACCCCCTTCTATGAGAACTCTATATAGACAGGCACCTTGATACCTGGGGTGGGGGGCTTTGTGTGCGGCTGAGTACACCTGCCCTGTGGGGAAGGTGAGAGCTGAGCTTTTGGCAGGGTGGAATAGCCCTGGGCTCAGGTTCCTCCGCTCCACTCTGTGGATTCCCATTTTGAACATCTAGCCTCTTTTGACATACAAAGAGCTGAGAAGTGCCTAAACCATGCTTGCTCATTCCCCTAGCCTAAACCGTGCTTGCTCATTCCCCTAGTCTAAACCATGCTTGCTCATTCCCCTAGTCTAGCTTTCCTCTGAATTTTGCTGTAAACACTGTGAAGAAGTCAGGCATCACCATCAAACTCACGGCTCAAGAACCAGCTTCTGCTTTGCCCAGGACTGCTAGGCACGGCTTTATTAGCACAGTTTAATTGGAGCAAAATGGATGTCATGTGACATTTAGTACTGAGTTGTATGATATATTTTGATCCTATCCACCCCCTTACCCTCTCTAGTCTCTTCATACCTGCTGCTGCTCTTCACAGCCACAGGAATATGCATGAGCCTCAGTGAAGATCTCCTCGTGAGCCCGGATGAAGAGAGAGACGAGAGAAGCATCTTTGCCTGTTCTCCTTGTGGGCAGGTTTGTGTCAATGTTTTCAAGGAAGTCTTCTCTTGAGTACTCTGCATCTTTCCTCCTATCCAGTGCCCTCTCCCTTGTTCCACTAGCAAGGGGTTCTAACAGAACCTTTGAGAATTCACACGACGACCTGACAACTTGTTTCACAATGTGCTGTAATACACTTAGTTGAAACTTCCAGGTCGGGCAGTGGTGGCGCACGCCTTTAATCCCAGCACTTGGGAGGCAGAGGCAGGCGGATCTCTGTGAGTTCGAGACCAGCCTGGTCTACAAGAGCTAGCTCCAGGACAGGCTCCAAAGCCACAGAGAAACCCTGTCTCGAAAAAAAAAAAAAAAAAAAAAAAAAAAAAAAAAAAAGAAACTTCCACTTCGTTACCTAAGTACACTTGATTTGATTGACATCTGTCCCCCTCCACTACAGTCAGCCCCACCAGACTCCCCTTGCTCAAGCTTCAAACATGAACACCAAGGACAGTACCAGACTCACAACACGAGCCACAAACACTTGATTCCCTAATCAATGTACTTGAAACTTGAGTTTTGGGTCAGGAATACTGCATACAAATTTCTTTTATTTCTCCTTTACAGAGGTTAGGTGGATTTGTTTTCAACAAACCTTTTAAGAAAAGCAACATTAAATAGCCCCCCCCCCCCCCCCCCACAAATTGTTCAGATTGGCGGAATCCCAACTTGTTCCACACTTGTTGCCTTAATTACAATTAGGGCTATTTTCACATAGGAATGAGACTTCCCTAATGCAATTTACCTCAAAAATCCTTCAACTTCAAACTCAAAGAACAAAACCAGAATGCTAACACGAGTGCTTTTCCCTACTCACTCGTATCTGAAGTGCCCACCCTGGCTCCTCTAACTAGAACATCCGTCCTGAGACTACACAGAGGAGCAGGAACGAGGCTCTTCCTGTCCTAATTTTGAGGAGGTGCAATTGAAACGTCTGACTCATCCGAGTCATTTGTGGAGAGCGTTCACGTGTTCATAAATTATGGAACGTGCTGAAAGAGCCTGAGCGCTCCCTGGCAGGTCTTCTAGCATCTTTCCGGATAAGAAGCGAACCAAGATCGTCTATCTTTTCAATTACCGTTCCTCATTATTACCCATATTAAACAGTGTGATTCATGCCTGGCTATCAAGAGAAGAGAAGGATTTTAAGGTCAGACTATGAAAATGAGAGTGAAGAAAGGAGAGGAGAATGGCAGTGACCAAAACCTGGGGATCAATGGGTTCTTTCTTCCAATGCCTTTTTTATTGGGAGGTAAATTAAGAGCCAAAATAATTTAGTAAACACTTTTGAAATTAGCAACATTTACTGTGAAGCTTTGGTGATCAAAAACCAACCTGTTTTGATATAACCAAAGCCCCAAAAGTAACAGGCTAATATTCTATGGTGGATATTGAGGATGTGAACAGCATTGGAGTGATACTCATCACTACAGAAACAGCATCTTCGAGACACACCAGGGCTGAAGCACAGATGAACTCACAGAGACTCTGGCAGCATGCACAAGATGTGCACAAGTTCAAGTCAGACAGGGTCTCAGTACTGAGAGGGGAAACAGAGGGGAAGCAGACACAGGGTCCCACCCTAACCAAGAAACTATCTGCAGTTGATACCCATTGGCAAAGGGAAAAATCAGTTTTCTATTTGTGGGTTTTTTGTTTTTTGTTTCTTGTTTCTTTTCTTTCTTTCTTTTTCTTTTGAGAGAGAAAGAGAGAGAGAGAGAGAGAGAGAGAGAGAGATATCACAAATTTGGCTGGGTAGGGAGGTGGGAAGGACCTAGAAGGAGTTGGAGGAAGGAAAAACATAATTGAAATACAGTAATTAAAAACAAAAGAAAAGGTTTGAACAACTAGTGACTGGGTCAGAATGGGTGATCTGGGTATTCAGGACTCATCTTCAGTAGACAAAGTTGACCACAATGGTGAAGAAAGGTCATAAAAGACTGGTCATTTTCCTTACATAATAGCCCTAATAATCACTGAAGAAATATTTGCACCTCAGTTATGAATAGAATCTGCCTTCCTACCCCCACTCATGTTAGGTTTGGCTAGATAATTTGCCTGGGTCCATAAGATGCTTATGGCTGTGCTGACGGAGGCTGGAGCCTGCCCTTGCACACTTCCCTCTGTAAGCATATGGTGCACATACCCTGGTCCATCTGCTTGTCCACTGAAGAGAGACACATTGAGTTGACTTGGACCCTAGCATGGCCTGAAGCTGCGTTTGGCTAAGCATAATGTTAAACAGCTGAAATACAGATGGGCAGAGATAAATACTCGCCCCTTTAAGCAATAAGGCAAAGATTAGTGATTCCCCAAGGTTTGGCCATCTGAACCTCCCTTGTGGTGACATTTCTAGTCTCTTAGTTTTGAGTTTATGGAGTTCTCTCATGGTTCTAATTGCTTCTTGGCAATGGTTGTACCATCCGTATTACTACATGTACTACGGTACTACGCCTGTAGTGCAGAGTCTGCACTACAGGACCATTCCTGAGCTGGGCAAGGGCCTGGAGATTTAAACACACAAAGACAGAGACACAGGTCATTCTTGAAACAAGAATGCCCTCTTTATTGTGTACTAGAGCCACTTATATATGGATAGCCACGCCCCAGCCAAACCCACCAGAAACCATTCCCCTGTCATTAGGAACTCCTGAGGGTCTCATGCTCAGAGTAGCTACAAACACAGGAAAAACAAGTTGTTTTGCTCAGAGCAGCTGCAAGCATAACAGGTTGCTTACAGGAAATTCAGGGTCTGGGTCCACAGCCCCCAACAAATGGTGTTCTTCCTTCTTGCATGTCATTCTCATACCGTGGAGCTGTGAACTTGAACTCAAGGACTGTATCTAGTGACCTTGAGCTCTCTATGCTGTGCCCAGAGCACCTCCCAACCTTTCCCTGGTGCTGACCTAAACCTGTTACTAGTTCCTTCAAATTGGCTAGAACTCATTCATTCATTCATTCATTCATTCATTCATAATTCGTTAATTTAATTAATACTGTTTTCTATATGTCAGAAACTGTCGCTAGCACTTGAGAAACAATGTCTGATCTAATGGAGCTTCCATTATGGCCATAGAGATATCTAATAAACTTGTAACCAATGTCTTAGTCTTTCAAATAGTGTTAAGAGCTCCGTGGATTGGTTCTTTTAAAGATAAATAAGATAGAAATGACAGGTGTGCTGGCTAGTTTAATGTCAACTTGGCACAAACTAGAGTTATCTGAAAGGAGGGAACCTCAACTGAGAAAATGTCTCCATTAGACCTGGCTGTAAGACATTTTCTTTCTTTTTTTTTTTTAAATATAATTTTTTTATTGAAAAAAAAAAGATTTCCGCCTCCTCCCCGCCTCCCATTTCCCTCCCCGTCTCCCTTTTCCCCCCTCCTCCCTCTCCTCTCCCCCTCCCCCCACTCCTCTCCCCCTCCCTCTCCAGTCTGAGGGGCAGTCAGGGTTCCCTGCCCTGTGGAAAGTCCAAAGTCCTCCCCGCTCCATCTTGGTCTAGGAAGGTGGACATCCAAACTGGCTAGGCTCCCACAAAGCCAGAACATGAAGTAGGATTTTCTTAATTACTGATTGATGGTGGAGGACCCAGCCCATGGTAGGTGATGCCGTTGCTGGACTGGTGGTCTCGATTCTATAAGAAAGCAGCCTAAGCAAAGCCTTAGAAGCAAACAAGTAAAGAGAACCCTTCATGGTCTCTGCATCAGCTCCCACCTCCAGGACCCTGCAGTGTTCTGACTTCCTTAAGGATGAACAGTGATCTAGAAGTATACTCCACATAAACCCTTTCCTCCCAGCGTGCTTTGGTCATCGTGTTTCATCACAGCAATAATAACCATAACTAAGACATGGTTTCTAACATATTATAAATATTGAGTTGAGTTGTCAAATGACAACAGCTTTATTGTTCTTTAGGAAACACCAATCTAGTTACCATAGTGATTTATTATCTACATTTAGCTACATGTAGAATATGCACATTGCTCTTTAACAGGTAAAGACTTTATAATGTTTACATTTTATCTTTGAGCTTGTATTTTCATCTCACATGAACTTTAAATAATGTCTTAAAGGATTTATGCTTAAATATCTTTTATTTCCCTAGTATGTTTCTTTGTCAAATAGTAAGTTTATGAAATAAAAGAGATATTTTCTGTGCCAAAAATTCCCCAAATTTTAGAATTTCTTTATGAATCACTGTTATTATAGTTACCAGTATATATAATAAAAGATGAATATGTTATACTTTAAACAGGCAATGATCAGGCATAGAAATTAGATGCCACTGGAAACATTTCTTTCACTGAGATGAATAAAACCAGTTTTCCCCCTCTTAGTGTATATCTACATTAATGATGCTCCTTCTCACTCAACAATAAGAAGGTCTCAACAGAAACTGTAGCTCTGACTGACATACGACTACTAAAAAACCCTGTTTTCAAAGATAGATAGTGGGGAATGGAAGGAACTTCCTTATAACAATGTCATCCAGTTCTTTGAGCTCTTTCCTTGCAAGTTGTTAAAATTCTTTTAATGGTTTTTAGGAAGTTTTAATGACCCTCATTCAACTTTTAAAAACAACAACAATAAAATATAGACGCTTCCTAAGTTATAAAAAATTAAAAAGAAAAAGTTTGCTTAGCTATCAAATTCATCTACCTTTTGAGTTTCTGGGAAATGTACCAAAAAGGCTTTAGTAAGACTTAGCAGTGACTATTAATTATATTTATTTGTCTTTCACTTAAAGAAATTGTATTTAGATTACATCAAAATGATCTTTCATTATGATCAAAGTGGCTTCATTCCAGGGCTGCAGGGGTGAGTCAACATAACTCAAACAACAAACGTAATACATCACATAAATGGACTTAAAGACAGAAATCACATGACTTTTGTGGGAGATGCAGAAAGGCCTTCAGTAAAATCCAACATTCTTTCACGGTTGAAGTCATGGAGAGGCTAGGAATGGAAGGAGAACACAGAGGGAATCAATTTCATTTACAATAGCCACAATAAAATAAAATGAAATATTTAGGAATATACTCAGCTGAGAAGACAGAAGACCCCTCCAGTGAAAACCTGAAGACGCTGAGGCAATTGAGGAAAACATTTGCAGGTAGGAAGACTTCTCATACTCACATGGAGGAAGAACAGGGAATGCTGTTAAAAGCAATCTACACTTTAAATGCAATCCCAACCAAAACCTCAAGGCCAGTCTTCACAGATAGAAAAAGAAAACTTAAAACTTACATGGAAGCACAAACGAATAGATAAATAAAACAATTCCGAACAGGAATACTGCAGGAGACATCACCGTACTTGATTCAAATTATAACATAGACATAAAGACAGTATGATGCTGGCACAAGGCACACAGAGATTAGTGGAATGGAAGAGAGGAACCAGACGTCAGTCCACATGACTGAAGACACCTGATTTTAGACAAAGACGCCACCAGGAAATACACACCAGAAAAAGGACAATGTGCTGGGAGACCTGGATATCAACATATAAACAGGCAGAAGAGTGAAACGGTATCCCTACGTCTCACAGCGCTCAACTCCAAATGGATTAAAGTCCTCAAATAAGACCCGACACCCCAAAACTGCTAAGGGAAAAAGTAGGGGCTGCACTGTAGCAGATAGGTATGGGGGGAACTTTCTAGCTACGGCTCTGGTAGCATAGGAAGTCTACCAATTAATGAATGGGACCTCACGAAACAAAAAAAGTATTTGTACAGTGAAGGAAACTGTCAAGCAAGTAAAGAAACAGCTCACAGAACAGAAGAAAAAATTTTCATCACTTATAAACTTGCAGAGAATTATTGTCGAGAATGTTCAAAGGACTAAAAGAAAATAAAACAAACAAGCCAATAAAAAAATAGGCTACTCAACTAAACTGAGAGTTTTCAAAAGATGAAATAAGGTGGTTAGAAACACTCATGTTCAATATCCTTAGCCACCAGAGAAATGCAGATTAAGACTCTAAGAGTTCATCTCGCCCTAGTCAGAATGTTACCATCTATCCCAATTAATGGATGCTGGAGAGGATACGGGAAAATGGAACCACTATACACTGTTGGTAGGAGTGTAAGTCATGCAAGCACTTTGGAAACCAGCCTGCAATTTTCTCAACAAAACAAAACAAAATCACTTTAGAAATAATGCTACCACATGACCCACTTTTGGGCACACACCAACAGTTCTACATAGGCAGAAATTTCATGTTCACTGTGGCTCTATGGAAGTAGTTAGGACATAGAATCATCCAAGTGACTATAGGAAATCTTGCTTGCACTCACTACAGATAGTACAGAGAGCTTCTCCAGGCCAGAACCACCCATGTGCAGCCCAGTTCAAAGAGCTGATCTCCAGAATCATGAGCCAAAGAAATGATATTGCTTCAGTATGCTAGGTTTGGGGTGGCTTGCTGCACAGAAATAGATACCTAACACAGTGATCCCAGGAAGACATCTATTTTGTGCCTCAGTTTCCCCTAGGTAAAAAAGAAACAAATTATAATTTTTATGAGTTACTATGATGATATAGAGAATCTATGCTTAAAAGCTTAGCATGCTTCTTAATAATGACTAATGATTTAATACAAGTTGCTGTTGTTATTGCCAGCTTGAGCATGACAAGGCTACAGGTTATGATGTGATACACAAGGGGTATTTAAAGTCCCTCCAGATGCATTGTTCATATACAGAGGAGGGAAATGACTTAGTGATTGTATCTACACAGAGTAAGCACTTGGGAGAAAGTCAGCCAGTCTTCCCAGTGAGTTCTCCAATTTTAAGGTTTATAAATCTCAGTTTTTCTCCATTTTTGAGTTTTCTGGAAACTAGGCTAGCCTGTTGTAATGACTGTTCTTGATTGCCAACTTGAATACATCTGGAATTAACTAAACCCCAAGCAGCTGTGTGTACCTGTGAGGAACCTTTCTTGTTCAAATCTTTTGAAATGGGAAGATCTGCCTTTAATCTAGGCCACATCTTTGGCTGGACATGGAAGGTGGAAGCTTTTGCTTTCTGCCTGCTTGTTCTCACTCTTGTTGGCAAGTCCATTCCTTCACTCTCATTAGAGCCTACTCTTTCGAGATTCCAGCATATACTGAAGACCAGCAACCACCTAGCCTCAGAGCAAACAACTACTATATTCTTAGACTTACCATTGGTAGACAGCCATTGCTGAATATATATATCTTATTGATGTGGAGAGACACCATGACCACAGCAACTCTTATAAAGGAAAGCATTTAATTTGGGCTTGCTTACAGTTTTAGTCCATTGTCATCACTGGCATGCAGGCAGATATGCTGGATAAGGAACTGAGAATTCTATATCTGGATCCAAAGACAGTATGAAGAGAAAAAGATCACTGGGCCTGGCTTAAGCATTCAAAACCTCAAAGCCCACCCCAGTGCCATACTTCCTTCAACAAGGTCACACCTACTAATCTCTCTCAGATAGAATCCACTCCCTAATGACCAAGCACTGAAATATTTGAGCCTGGGGATTGGTTCTATTTAAACTAACACACACACACACACACACACATGAATATATATGCATATATTTACTAATTCTATCAACTCTGTTCCTCTAGAGAACCCTGACGAACACACCTATGTTTATATCTATGTTCTCAGTGGACATGGTGGATGAACCTCTTCTTTACTAAGGATTGTAGGAACTCCACCATTTGAGCACAAAAATCTATTCTACAGTATAAGAGGATATGATGATATTTAGCTACTAACCGTGCTCTGACTACTTTTAATAAACTGATTCTGTTCAGCTTACAGTTTTACACCTGCTGATAGCTTTACACAGGTAAAATGAAGTCCAATGCATCTTGCAGACTGAAATAGTACCAATCTAGCTGTGGATAGGTCTTAATCAAAAGTAAGAAATTAACTGTCATAGCCTAGTAATTACCAAACAGGAATGAGATTCATAAAAATTACTACCAGCTAGAATCCAATTTTAAATTCTTTTTTTGGCCTTAGCCTCTGATTCATGAGCCAATTATAAATGGCTTCAGGAGAATTTAGTGCCAGCCCTTGTCCAAGTAAAATCTCACCCTTTGTTTAGGTAGGTAATGGGGGCTACACCAGCAGGTTGGGTTGGGCTTTTTTTTTTTTCATCATTAGCTGCTTCCTAGGATTCAAACTGAGACTCCTGTGACAGGCATGGTGTCACATGCCTTTAATCCCAGAACTCACACTTAGGAGGCAGATACAGGCAAGTGATCTCTGAGTTTGAGGTCAGCCTGCTCTACAGAGTGAGGTCCAGAACAGCCAGGGCTACACAGACAAACCCTGGAGAGAGAGAAAGAGACAGACAGATACACACACACACACACACACACACACACACACACACACACACACACAGAGGCAGACAGATAGACACCGGCTCCTGAGCTTGGACTTACAGCTAACCCACAACCATAAATTTCTATTTGTAAAACTTTAGTCATTTGAACTTGAGAAAAATAGGTACATCAAGCACGACAGGGCTATTGAGGTCAGTGAGGTGGCCAAGGAAGGAGAACTGACAATACATTCAGCAGAACATGGGGTTCATCGTATCATGTGGCCCATCTTGCCCTTCAGATGAGGTAAACTGTCACCATGGGTCTATGTCTCTTCTAAACTTTTAAAGTTTCCAGAACTTATATTGTACAAAATATTCATTGAGGTATTTTTCAAAAATTTATTCTACTGGATGTATGTTGGGATCTAGAATCTGAGCTTTTAACAAGTCCTTAGGTAATTGTGATTCAGGTGCTCCAGGGGCCACTCTTCGAAGACATCATCCTAGGCAGAGATTTCAGGGTCTGTGCAGATGCAAGAAGCATGGGGGAGGTTCTACCCCTGTTCCTATAAAAACTGCAGTAATGACTGTATCCAGTAACCTCCAGCATAATCAACTCCTCAATGGCTCACTGGTGCTTGAGTTTAAATGCAACAAATAAATAGATGAATTCCTTTATGTCACAAAAGGCTTAAGACTGAACAGGCTGAGCAGATACTTGAAATTAAATGTTTTAATATTAATTTAATTCAATAATACCATAAATGTTTTGACACCTGGGCTTTGCTGATCTATGAGAAATTTCTCCTCTTAGGGATAACCTATTCCTAAAGATAGTAAAAGATACATCTATGAATGCTCCTTGGTTACACAAAAAAGCTAGTTCAAAGTGTCCCAAGACACTCCTACCTCTTCTAAAAGTCTGTCTTTGAGTTCTCATTTGTCAAGACATAGTTTCCCTACTCTAATTGTTCTAGGGCTACTTACCAGATGAGCGGGAGCATCCTCTCACCATGACCAGGACCATCCCTTCACCATGACCAGCAGCATCCTCTCACCCTGACCAGGACCATCCCCTCACCATGACCAGGAGCATCCCCTTCACCATGACCAGGACCATCCCTTCACCATGACCAGGACCATCCCTTCACCCTGACCAGGAACAGCCTCTCACCCTGCAGCCTGCTGAAATTGCTCAAACTATTTTTTTAAAGATGTAATTTTTAAATTTATTTATTATGTATACAATATTCTGATGGAGGTGGGTCTTGTATCAATTTCTGTCTGTGTGAATGCCTGCAGGCCAGAAGAGGGCACCAGACCCCATTACAGATGGTTGTGAGCCACCATGTGGTTGCTGGGAATTGAACTCAGGACCTTTGGAAGAGCAGGCAATGCGCTTAACCTTTGAGCCATCTCTCCAGCCCCCTCGCTCAAACTATTTAACCCTAAAGCTATTTAATCTGCTTATCCACAGCACTGTCCCTTTCTATAGAGACCCTGCAAAGGCTCTTGCTTGCCTTCTGTTTCTGACTCACCCTGGAGCCTTCTCGTATGGCCCTCTGTGTGGGCTGTGTTTTTTTGTCCCCAGGAGTTATAAATTTAAACTTTGATCTTTGTGACATTCATTTCTGTGCCTAGCGTTACAACTTATTAAAACAAACCCTGTCTACATTTACAAATGAAAAAGATACTTCTTAAAAGCCTCACCTTCAACATTCTGGGGGAAATACTCAGGAAATAAACAAGGAAATGGCAGACTTTTGAGCCACACTATAAACAAAATAGGCTTAATGTAAAAATAATGGAATATTCTTTTAAAAAGTTTTATTTTGGGTCTAGAGAAATGGCTGAACAGTTAAGAGCACTAACTACTCTTCCATAGGACCAGGTTTGATTCCAAGCATCCACATGGTGGACAACAACCATCTGGCTCTCCAGTTACAGGGGATCTGATGCACTTTCCTGGTCTCTGCATTTGTGGTGCACAGACATATATGCAGACAAAACACCCACACACATAAAATAAAACTCAATAAAATCTTTAAAAATTAAAAAAAATGTGTGTGTTAAAAATCGTGTGAGTGTGTGTGTGTGTAAAGATATGCACACTTGTGATCAGATGAAAGTACAGGTGCTCATGGAGGCCAGAATAGTGTGTCATCTCTTGGGGCTAGAGTTACAGGCAGTTATGAGGCACCTAATATGAACTCAGGTCCTCTGGAAGAGCAGTACACAGTCTTTTTTTTTTTTTTTTTTTTTTTGAGACAGGGTTTCTCTGTAATTTTCGGGCCTGTCCTAGAACTAGCTCTTGTAGACCAGGCTGGGCTCGAACTCACAGAGATCCACCTGTGAGTTCTGGCTCCCAAGTGCTGGGATTAAAGATGTGCGCCACCACCACCCAGCTGCAGTACACAGTCTTAACCTCTCAACCATCTCTCAGTCCCAAATGCAGACTCTTCTATCCAACACTGGATGAATCCATATTCTCTTCACACATGCAACTTCTCAAGGATAGAACACATATTAAGACAAACAAAAGAAGCCTTCACAAATTTTAGAATATTTAAAGCATGTCCCTGACCACAAAAGTATAAACTAGAAATGAATATGTGGATATTTCACAGGATGCAGAAATTAAATAACACATTCTAGAAATCAATAGATCTATCTTAGGGTATGATGAAGCACCCAAAAGCAAGTTGGGAAGGAAGGGGTTTATTGGGCTTACACTTCACATCATACTCCATTATTGAAGTAAGTCAGGGAAGGAACTTGGAGATAGGAGCTGATGCAGAGTCAATGGAAGGGTGCTGCTTACCGGCTTGCTCCTCATGGTTTGCTCAGCCTGCTTTCTTATAGAACCTAGGACCATCAGCCCAAGGATGGCACCACCCACAAAGAGCTTGGCACTCCCCCATCAATCAGTAATTAAGAAAATTCTCTACAGGGTTGCTTACAACCCAATCTTGTGAAGGTGTTTTCCTGACTAAAGTTTCCTCCTTTCAGAAAACTTTAGCTTATGTCAAGTTGGCTTGAAATTAGCCAGCACAGGCTCAAAAAGAAATAAAAAGAGAAAACTGTGTATATCTTGAGAGAAATGAAAATGAAACAACTTACCCAAATTTACAGAATGCTGAAAGTCAGTATCATAAGACAGTTTTTAGAAACCCATGCTGACATTAAAAAAGGAGAAGTATGAGACCCAAACCCCAGCAGATTCAGTGGGCCCATAGCCCTAGTTCAATCTCTGAGAAGCCTGGTTCTGAACCCAGAGCTAGGGAAAGAAACACACCCTGAATCTGGGATAAGAGCCAGGGGAAGTGACACTTTGTTCCTAAACTCAGACCTGGAGAAAAAAAAAAACCCAGACCACAAAACCAGGACCAAAAGAACACACTAAGCTCCTAGGATCAGTCTACCAAAGATATTTGCCCTAGTCCCAAAATTAGAGTAAAAAAGGCAAAAAAAAGAAAAGAAAAAGAAAGAAAGAAAGAAAGAAAGGAAAGAAAGAGAGAAAGAAAGAAAGAAAAGAAAACAAAGAAAAAAACAGTTTGGTCCTAGAATCAGAGCTATCTATGCCCTGACGCAAAACCAGCCAATCTCTGAGCAGGGAAAATGGACCAATCACTGAGTCCCAAGAGGCTTGGAATTTCCCCTTACATCATAGTGGGCAGCCAATCCCAAGCCTGGAAGTCTGGAGTTCCTCTCACCCCACTTGGGGGCAGCCAACCACAAGCCCAGAGGTTTGGAAGTCTCCAGGTCTCTTCCCCCATTTAAAGTCCCTCTTTTCGCCCCTTAGGGTCTCTCCTGTGCTGTTCCTGTTGTTGCTGTCATAGCTGCCACTGCTGCTTTGGACGGATAAAGGGACCTGAGTTAGCTCTCAGTAAAGACTTTTTGCTTTTGCATTGGATACGGTCTGACGGTGATATTTTGGAGATTTGAACTTTGGGTGTAACACAAGAAGGCAGAAACAATTAATGTGTGCCTCTACTACCCAAAGCAATGTACAGATGCAACATTTTTCTCATGAAAATGCCAGTACACCCCTTACTGAAATTGATAAAACCATTCTAACAGCCTCAGGGTACAAGAAAAGAGACAGAATTAGCCAAGAGATCTTGAGAAAAAATAAGGATGAGGGCACCATACTTCCTGATTTCAAAATCTGTTATGAAGCCACAATAGTTAAAATAGGGTGATATTGACATACAGCCAGATGTACAGACCAACAGGGAAAGTAGAGAGCCCAGGAATAAAGCAACACATACTCACTGACCTGATCTCTGAGAACAGTGTCAAGAGTAACAGATAGCTAAGATATAGTTCCTCCACATAACGGGAAAATCGGATGTGCACTGAAAAGGGGCAAACTTAGACCTCTAACTTCCATACATGGAAGTCCAAAGTGGGTGAAATTTGTGAGAGAAAATATGGGGAAAGCTGAATGGGAGTAACACCAAAATCTTAAGCAAGGGATGCAAACACACAGAGTGGGATTAGAGCTCACAGCCCTTCTGAAGAGCAAAAGACACGCCACAGACTGGAAGCATTCCAGTCATATATTTAAGCTTTTTTTTTTTTTATCAATTTCCTTTATGTCTATAGGTGTTTTGTTTGCACATGTGTCTCTGCACCATTTGCATGACTGGTGCCTTCAGAGCCCAGAAGAGAGTGTCATATTCCCTGGTACTGGAGTTACTGGTTAAGAATTACCATGTGGATGCTGGGAACCAAACCTGTGTCCTCTGCAAGAGCAATAGAGTGCTTAACTCCTCAGTCATCTCTCCAGCCTCCACAAACTATGCTTTTGAGTGAGAGAGCATTTCTAGAATAAGAGACTCCTCCCACTCAGCAGAGGACTTGAGAAGACATATGGATGGTCAAAACGTATATGTTCACCATAACTGTAGTGGTGTGGGAGGTTCTTCTGTGTATGTGTTGCTTTCATTGGTTAATGAATAAAGAAACTGCTTGGCCTGATAGGGCAGAACTTACGCAGGCAGAGTAGACAGAACTGAATTCTGGGAGGAAGGAAGGAGAGAGGGAGAGAGAGAGAACCACCATGGAGCTGCCAGAATCAGACATGCTGAGTCTTTCCCGGTAAACCATGACCTCATGGTGATACACAGATTTAATAGAAGTGGGTTAAATCAAGATGTGAGAGTTAGCCAACAGGAGGCTAGAGATAATGGCCAAGCAGTGTTTAAATGAATACAGTTTCTGTGTGATTATTTTGGGTGTAAGCTAGCCAGGACAAACAAAGGACCCACTCTCCCTTACAACACTGTAGGGAAATGCAAAACAAAACTACAGTAAGACACCATCTCACACATATTAGTGTTTCTGCAATAAGTAAGAAGAGGTGTGTGCTGACAAGATTGCAGAAAAATTTGGACTTATATCCTGTTGGTAAAAATGTAAAATCAGGTAGCTGCTATGAAAAACACTGGTTTCCTCAGAACATTAAAAGCAGAATGATTATGTGATCTGCAGTTGTGTTCTGGGTATAGATCCAAAAAGAACGGAAGTCAGGAACTCAAAGACACATTCCCATGTTCATGGAAGCATTATTCATAATAGACAAGACATACAAACAATCCAAATGTTTATTAGTAGGGGACTGAATAAAGTCTCTCTATCTCTCTCTCAAACACACACACACGCACACACGCACGCACACACATATACACACACATGCGTGTGCGCACACACTATTATGCACTAAAACTAAAAAATGAAGGAAATTCTATCTTGCTACAGTATGGAGGACATGGAGGACATGCTGAATGAAATAAATCAGCCACAGAGGATAAGAGCTGCGTGAGTAGTGTTTAGAGAATGTGGGAAGAACCAGAAAGTAGCAGGGACTGGGATGCGAAATGTTTATTTAATGCACACTCAGTTGCTGCTGGGAGAAATAAGTTCTGTTCTACTTCACAGTGGGGTATGTAAAGAAAACCCTGCATATTCCCAGAGATAAGTGAATATTTTTCATCCCAGAGATAAGTGAATATTTTCCATCGTAAACAAGTGATAAATGTTTGAGAAAATAGATGTTTATGATGGTTTGAGCATTCCATAATAAATACTTGAGTTGAAATATTGCACAGCACCTCATAAATATGTATATTTATGTTAATTAAAAACGGTATATGAGAGAAGATTCTCTAACTGTCGTATATTTTTCTTGCTCTTCATCACTTTCACTTTAAGGTTTTGACATGAATTGATCTATTTTGCCTGATTTAATTATTATTATGATGACTGAGGGAAAAAAGAAAGATGATTGCCAAGTTTGTTTTCATCAATGCTGATGTTTGGATCCAGGCTGGACCAATGGAATTGTGTGGTGTCTCTTGTACACATCGCTGACTCAGCAGAAGTCTTGATGTATTGTTTTTACAGACAGGTAAATTTCCAGAAATACTGAAACAAATGTGACTATCTGATGATTTCAAACACAGCTGGGTTTGTCAGTTACAATTAAGACAAAAGTCTGTGAACGCAGGTGAAATCTGTCTCCATCTCCTATTCTAGCTTCAGAGAACTAACATCTGGTGAGATGGGTTCTATTGTACGCACCTTCCAAACTTTGAACTTCATGGAAGGGATCTTGTCCTGTTTGCTCTGAAGTCTCATCTTCTGTGCATGAAATACAAATCTTGAAACTTTGTTTGGACTGCTGACTCGGGAATGGCCATTTCTTTAGCAAGTTGCTCTCTGGAATTACTTCCAGGGTCAGTATTGCTCATAGATACTTTGATGTGAGTGTCAACCAAGCAGAGCTCCAGCGTATGACACCCTCTGGCTTCTTTTTACAAATGGTTTTGAAAGTAATCTTGTGTCTAGCCTGTGCCTAATCCTAAAGCCTCCTAAAATTATAGTCTTTGCTGAAACCAAAAGAGAACCCTTCATTTCTGAAACCAGATTTCAGTGTTGATTTGTAAAATGCATTCCATTTTGGTAGCATGTGCTGGCTAGTGTTTTATCCACTTGACACAAGCTAGAGTC